AATCAGTTGTGATCATTCGACTCATTTTGACAGCTTAATTTGAAAAAGGGTTCAAGAAAATCTCCATGGCTCTCTTCTCAAGCTTGTTTGGCTGCTTCTCTGATTCTAGCAGAAGGGTCTCAGAATCTGGAGAAGAACTGGAGCAGAGAAAACCCAGCGGGGAATTAGCTCAACTTTGTAGCCAAACAGCAAAATCGAAGGACAAGAATAAGGAAGTCCCACCTCCAATTCTATTGAGCAATTTCCCTGTAGGAATGAAGTTCTCTCTCTTGTGAGAGCATAAAATTAGCACGATTCTCATTTGTTTATTTGTTTACTGTTATTATTATTTGTTATTCTTAAGCATCATTTTTGCTAGAAGTTTTCTTTTTATAAATTGGATGTTGGATTTTATTGTTAGTTTTTTTTTTTTTTCTTTCTTTTGGGTTATGTCGCAATTTTGAAAGGATTGTATTGCATTGATATGCATTTTTAAAGGAAGTGTGTGTTGTTAATATCACTACCAGATTCAATCAGATATATATTGAGAAGTTTTCATTTGAAAGATGATCACAATCTCAAATTGAAATCTATTTAGGAGTACAAAGTTAACTTATTTTTACAAATAAAACAAAAGTAATTGAGCAAAAAAAAGAATAATACAAACGCAGTGTTATAAAGTTGAAAGACTTTATACAATCACTTTATTTTTATGAATAACACAATTTCATTAAAAACGATAGAAAATGGCAAGCAATGACCCAATCAGATTATTATTAGATTCCCTACCACAAAGTACCAACCATTTCAGTGTTGGGAAAACATGCCCTCTTCACTACCTCATCATCGTATTACTGCGCGAGTTTAATAACATTTTCTTTCTTCCACTTAAAAGTTTTCGGCCTATAAAAAAGCACCTCAAAAACTATCTCAAGATTTGGTAAACAAGAACAATAAAAAATTAAAAAAAAAAAAGGTCAATACTTTATCCAATCACCATATATTCCACCCAACAACAATAATAATAGCATCAACGACAACAAACAAGAAAGTTAAATTAATTCCAAGCGTTGCTTTTAGACCAGAAAGAACTAGAGTTAGGTGAATGAAAAGAAAGAAATTCAGGAATGTCCTTTACTATATAAATGCATATATATATATATATATATGCGCAATACAGGGAGGAGGGTTTGTTATTTTTCACTCAAATTCAAAAAAAAATTGAATTCAAGTTATAACTTTATTTAAGTTCATATTCTTTTATAAAATTTAAGTTTGAGCTTCAATTTTAATTTGAGTTTGGAGCTAAAATCTGAGTTCAAGTTCTTCCTTCAACTCAAGTGCATAAATTCAAACTTAAGTTAATGAACATTATTTTTTCTATTCTTAAAAACGTTATAATTTTTTCGTTTTAATTCCGATTGAGATAATTTTTTTTATGCGTTCACAATGAAAAGACGAATAAAACCCCACTCATATACCATATTGAAATTTTTCATCACCATTAAATTTTTATTAAAATACTATCTAAATACAAACTCAAGTTTTGACCTACTCAAATACAAACTCAAAAAGATTTTCATCTCAAATTATAATTCAAATATACGTAACTAAACACAAACTCAAATTATAACTCAAATTCAATTCAAGATCTACACTAAATTCATCATAACTCAAAAATATAATTGAATAAGCCCGGAAATAATAAAGAGGGGTCTACCTAGATTGACTGCTTTAACAACTAGTTTGTATTTAGACAATTGGGAATTGGCAAACTATGAGGAAGATTGCTTTTATTCAGAATCACCAACTTGGCATTTATATAAAATGGATATAAGACAAAATAGGAGTAATCTTTTCAACCTTATTAATGTGCCAAAAGAAAATCCAATATTATGTAACTTGGACTATATATATATATATATATTTGTTTTTTTTTTTTGAGAAAAAGAAAAGCATCTTAGCTAATCTGCTACTGTATGTAGTCAAAAATAAAAAACAAAAAAAAATTGATAAACAATTGCTATTATGGTAGGTAAGAGAATTTCATGGCTTGTCGTGTGAAGCAAGCTTAGAAAGATAATGAAGTCATGACCAACAGAAGTTAGAAAAATTGATAAACAATTGCTTTTCTTTTTTCTTTTTTTCTTTTTTTTTGTCCTCCAAAAATTTTGCACAACTATTGGCTAATCCCACACAAGACTTTTATTATGATGATTGTGAAAATCCCTGAATTTCCAAAATGTCCTCACCAACCCTCAAAAGTAGAAATGAGTAGAATATCAAATATTAATGGGACACAAAACAATCAGCTCTGTGAAGTGTGAACAGAAAAAAATCAAGTCATGACCAACAGAAGTTACTTTTTTTTTTTTTTTTTAATGCAGAACTTAACTATTCAAAATGACTAGTGAATTCCCGTTAGTTTAGGAGATTTCTCTTTTAGTCCTTGAAAAAATAGATTATTATTAATTTTTTTATTTTTTAATCGTTAAATTTACATTAAAAATTATTTATTTTACATATTTTTTTAATTTATTGTGATTTTAAACAAATTTAACTATAAAAATTTGAGATTAGTGATATGCCGACCTACCAAAAAAAAGTCTCATAATTTCATTACTTTTCAATATTTGACAAATGTCATAATCTTTCAAGCATCATCCCAAAATAGTATTTTACGTGGAAGTATTGAATAATGTTGGGTAGACCATAGTCCATAGGCAAACTTAAATATGTCCCTTTTTTTTTTGGTTGCATCCTACTGTTTGTTTGATAAAAAGATGAAAGATACCCTCATTAATTTTTCTTTTGTTTGGTGGGAAAGAAACATTTTTATTTTGTAAACTTTAGTTGTAGTTTGCTGAAAAAAAAGAAGAGTTTCCAATTCGAAGGCAAATTTTGTAAGCCAGCATTAGCTATATATAGCTGCAACAAGTTACATTTATGAATGATCAAACCAATAATTTGAAGGGTTAATCTCATAAGTAGTTCCTGAAGTTTAGTCTCAATCTCATTTTAATTCTTAACTTTTCAAACCTTGCACACTTGGTCTCTAAGGTTTTATTCTATTTCAGTTTCGATTCTTATGTTAGTTTGGTGTTAAATATTTGACATAATATATGTAGAAATTATGGACTAAAATTAAAAATATATAAAGTTTAGAGATTAAACTAATATAAAAAATTAAAAATTAATTTTCACAAGTAGACCTAAAATTTTAATTGTTTCTAATTTTTTACTCTAATTTACACATATTCTATAAAATTTTAACATATAGTTAATGAAAGGATCGAAATTGAAACAAAATAAAATTTCATTGACCATATGTATGATGTTTAAAAAATTAAAGATTAAAATGAAATTGCGTGTAAACTTCAAACACTATTTATGAAATTAACCCTAATTTAGAAGGAGCTACAAATAGCAAGAGTATTTGGCAGTTCTTTTTGGTAATCACGCATACAATTGTTGCCCGACAAAAGAGTAGAGAGGGAAAGAGAAAGAAATAGAGGAGAATTTAGTGGAGGAAAGGAGAAGAAAATGAACAATAAGGGAGAAATCTGAACATTCATTTTTTGTTTTATTAATTAAGTTTGAATTGCAATAACAATGTTTAGTCCTATTTACAGGGAATAAAAATAATAAGAAAGGGAAATTGACATATAACGAAAACTACCCAAATATCAACATTGGGGTAATGCTTATTTAGATGGCAGAAAATTTTGTTCTCTTTGAAGGTCAATTGAGGAGGTTAGTAGAGGACTCATTAAGGGGGCGTTTGGTATGGAAGAATCTTTAAGTGGGAATGAGAATCTTCACATATTATTATGTTTGGTACAAGAGTTGTGATTTTTATATTCCTAAGAATATCAATCTCATGGGATTCATTTTACCCCAAAATGGGATAATCTGAATAACACTCAATATGGTGTTATTTAGATTCCCAGTAATATCAATATAGTGTTCTTACCCGTCTGCAGAAAAGATTTACATGCATAACCAAACGTGGTAATACACATTTCTTAGGAATCATATTCTCTTTTATCACTTTCTCAGTAATATGATTCCTACCCATTACTGCATACCAAACACCCCATAAAGAGAAAGTTTGGCAAAAGCAAACTAGTAATTTGATTGATAAAGCATGAACTCAACTTTACAATATAGGCATAAAAATATATAAACAATTTGAACGCTCATATATTTATAAGACGATCTAACTTAAAGTTATGTTATCATACTCCGCCATAAGATTTTTTCTTATTATATTCAAAACTCATCACTTTTACACAGATTAAGAGATATTATTAGGTACGGATTTTTTTTCCCCATTCTATGTGTACTTTTTCTACTTCATATAAATATAATTGACCAGGAATTTAAAAATGAAACAAAATCATTTGCTTCACAAATTTAAACAAAAATTTTAATAAAATTTTATGAGAGAAAATAATATAGAAAAAAAGAATACTCATGTTCGTATTTCTTCTTATAATAAGTTTTACTTTTCAATCTTCATTTAACTTGTGATCGAATCAAAAATAATATTAAAAAAAATGACTTTTTCTTGTACGATATCTCCACCGTTAGAGTTAATTTTTAACTGTTAAATCTGATTAAAATATACATAATAGAAATTTGTGATATAAATATAACATCTCAAAATAAAGAGCTATCGATAGCTAATTTTTTATGATCGTATCAGAAAAACTTTAAAAAAATAAATAAATAAACAGTAAAAGAAGAATAAATACGACCTTCCTCCATTTCTCACCTAAAATGTTAGGAGGATGTTGAGGCTGTAAATGCAACTGAGCCCCACAGCCCGCAGAATATCTTCCTACCCTTTCTTAAAGTCTTACCTCTTCCATTCATTATTCTGCATACTTGTTACTTGTGATACAAAGTATGTAGATATAAACATATAATATAAACGTATTTTTTGAAATGATATACATTATTAATATATATATATATATATGTACACAAGCCTTGTATCCTTTAACTTTCTTGGTATTAATACTCGATCAAATTTCGTTCACATTGCTTCCTTCACTTCACCTTTGCTTCTCTAAGCGTGCCGACCCTCTCTCTCTCTCTAAAAACCAAAAGGAAAGAAACGTGTAGCCAACATTCTGCTCACCTAACTCTTTTTACAGCTCTCTTGGTCTAACAAGTGAAGTACTTGTTAGCTCAAACATTTTCCTTTTTTTGACCTTGCCCATTGTATCTGAATTCTTAAACAAGAGCGTGTGTGTGTGTGTATATATATATACACACACATACGTTTAGTGGGGTGGGTCCAAAATCCACCACCATTCCCGTCTACCTTGACAATGCGCAACTGGGTTTCACCAGAACTCACCAACACCAACAACAACACAAATGCACCACCAACCACACTCTTATGAGTTTGGTTTTGCCTGAGACTTTTTGCTTTCTTTCTGGGTCCAGAGAGAGAGATTTTGAGATTTGGGCTGTCATTATCTATGGCTCTGAATGGTTCACCCATCTGGGGTTGTGCTAAAACTCCTTCCCATTTGGGTGTCTCCGATTGGGGGCCAAGCCGTTCTGGGTTTTCGTTGAATTTGAGGTGCGACCTTCGAAAATGGGAATGTCGTTTCTTGGGTTCTTTGGCGGCGGCTCAGACTCAGAGAGCAACAACTCCTGTTGATGATGAGAAGCCGTATCTGTCTGTGGCTGATACTTCTGGCCCTATTCAAAAGGCTCGGAACAATGAGTCCAGGGGATTTCACAAGGATTTGAACCTTCTTCCCAGTGAGATTTTACACAACCATACCTCTATTTTTTTGTCCCACAAATATTTTTCATGTTCAATTGTCATTGTGAAATATGTCAACTTTAACAACTGGAGTTTGAAGGTTAAATGAAAAGCTTAGCTTGATATTGATATGATATCTAAATGGTGGAATTAGCCTGAAATGTCGAATATGTTTTGGCCCTGGGTAGCTTGTTGATTCAGATTTATTACATGAACAATGCTAAGAATCCCAACTGTTTTAATTGCAACTTACGTATGATATGAGTTGTCGTTATTGTATCGGTATTCGGTAGGTGTTAAAAAAATACTCATGTTAATTATATTAAAAGATTGCATCTACCAGTGAAACAATATACTGTCACATAAGTTCATATCAAAAAGTTGGAATCCCTGATACTACTCTAATCTTATAGCGATAGCGTGGATTACTGTTCAAGGACTTTTTCTTTCTTTCTTTCTTTCTTTTTTTTTTATTTTTATTTTTTTCTGACGTTCGTGAGTGTTAGGACACTCAATTAAAATTAAGACTTAATTCATAACTTTAGCGTGCAGTGTGTCTTACTTGTTCGCTATGTGAGCATGAGTAGGCGGTTTCTTACATGTTTGTAGAAAAAGAAAGACGAATAATGATTGATCTTCTTATGTAGATATGCACAAATCTCAGCTTATGGTTTGAATGGAATGAAATTATGTGTTGCTTACAATAATATGACCAAAATGATGTTCATTGTTTTGAAACCATTTTGGAAGAATAAGAAAATTCTCTATTTCCAACTCCCTAAACTGTTTCTTGTTCAATATCACGGCTTGAATAAAAAATACAGAACCATTGACTGCAAATGATCTCTCTTCGTCTCCGGCAGATGGTTCAAAAGTGCGAGTTGCTTACCAGGTAAATTGCTTGGTCATCTGTGTTGTTCTTGTATCTGTACCTTTCTTCATTCTGAAGATAGCTTGTGCGCTCTTTAGGGGTTACCAGGAGCATATAGTGAAGCTGCTGCGTTAAAAGCATATCCAAAGTGCGAAACTGTCCCATGTGAGGAGTTTGAAGCTGCTTTCAAGGTTCAAATTACGATTGTAATCTTCACAATCATTGAATCTCTTTTGCTTTTAGTGTACCCTGATTACATGAAAATTCTGTTTCACAGGCAGTTGAATTATGGTTAGTAGATAAGGCAGTTCTTCCTATTGAGAATTCTGTTGGGGGAAGCATCCACCGGAATTATGATTTACTCCTTCGCCATAGGCTGCACATAGTTGGTGAAGTGCAGTTGCAAGTGAACCACTGTCTACTGGGATTTCCCGGTTCAGAAAAAGAAAAGATAAAACGTGTTTTCAGCCATCCTCAGGTTGGTACCCTTTTTTCAAGAAGTTTGGCAATAACCCTCCTTTTATCCTTCAGGAAATGAAAATGTTGCAGAAAAATGCTCACTGTCTTTCGACACATTCTCATGGGACTCTGCGATTTGGGCCACAGTTCCATAAATGTAAATCTAATACTTGCTTAAGTTTTAAAACCCAATCCAACAGTAAAAAAGGGGGTTTTAACTGCAAATCAAGAAACGAATGGAAGTGAGTTTTGATATAACACATTATTTATGAGACTTGTTTTGACTTGTGCTGCTTCTTGCACTTTTACAAACTAGACATGCACATATAAATGGAGAAATTTCCTTTGGGATATAGTATTATGCTAAGCACCTGTGCGTCCAAATATCTACAAAATTTTTCCCACATCGTAAAAAGATTTGTTGCTAACATTCTCATTTGCAGGCTCTTGCTCAATGTGAAAATATGCTAAGTAATTTAGGCGTCATCAGAATCAATACTGATGACACTGCTGGTGCTGCGAAGGTTATACATACAAGTTTTCTCTGTTACGTTAGAATATTCGGTAAACGTTGTTGGAGACTAAACGTTTCCAACTTTTTTTTGCAGATGGTGGCCTCAATTGGCGTCAGAGACACTGGAGCTATTGCGAGTGCTCAAGCTGCAGAAATATATGGGCTTGACGTTCTTGCGGAGAAAATACAAGTAAGACTACTTTCACATTCACTTTCTGGGTCACCTAGACAGTGCAGTATTTAAATATTCATTATTTAATATAAAGTTGCAGTTCAATTTGATTTGTGCCCCCATTCATTCTCCAGGATGATGACGATAACATTACTCGTTTTCTGATTCTTGCAAGAGAACCCATCATTCCAGGAACTGACCGACCATATAAGGTCCTTCTGCCCATTTCTTTCTTTCTTCGTCTTTTCTTTTTCCTTTTTCGGCATATAGTTATATTTTCGTATGGTGTTCTGAAGACATAATGACATGTATGTAATTCTTCTATAGACGAGCATTGTTTTCAGTTTAGAGGAAGGTCCCGGGGTACTGTTCAAAGCCTTGGCAGTGTTTTCTCTGAGGGAAATTAACTTGACAAAGGTAAATTCATGCAAAACTTTGACTTAATCTATTTACTTTTTTGGTATTTGGTCAATATGTCTATAGGATTTGATCATTTTCAGATAGAGAGTCGTCCACAGAAACAGCGGCCACTGCGAGTTGTCGATGACTCTAATGAAGGAACTGCCAAGTGAGTGACATTTCCGTTTTTGCTAAAGTAAAGCTGTCCTACTCTATGTATCTTTTTGCATGCATTTGTGTTCGTATTATATTTTGTTAACTTGTGGTCGATCTAGGTAATGCAATGACGACGTATTTTCCATGCTTCACAAATTGAATAATTTGATGTTGCAGGTACTTTGACTACCTCTTTTACGTCGACTTTGAAGCTTCTATGGCGGAGCTTCGTGCTCAATATGCTTTGGCACATCTTCAGGTCAGCCTTTAATATCATTCACTTGGAAATGCAACATTACTAGAACTACATGTTATGGCGCGTGTCCAATATATGCTTTAACAAGTTATGGCAGGAGCCACAATCTCTTTCCTGATTACTGCCAGTGCTACATATTTCTGATCGTTTTAGATGACATCATAATCATATCAGAATCAGAATCATACACGGATCTGATGAAGATCGACTTGTTTTGTAGGAAATTGCGAGATTTCTTCGTGTCCTGGGCTGTTATCCAATGGACATAATTCCTTAGAATATACAAGGAAATGACAATAGTTCTGTCCCATACATATTCAATATGGGCAAAAACATGGAAGATAATTCGACCTCCTATGTTGTAAATACGAAATTATGATCTTTGTGTGAGCCAATGCCACAAGAGAATAAAAAACCTTGGATCACCGATAAATTTTCCAAGCTAGGGAGCAGAAATTCCATTCAAAAGTGTTCTTATTTTTGTTTATCTGGAAATGTATATCATTCTTTTTGTTCGTCGACTGAAGGCTACCGGGACACTGCCACTGCCACCGCCGATGTAACTAGGAGAGTCTCAAGCTTACATAGTTCAGTTCTCTTCTTATTTCCTTTTTGTGTTCTGGACTTTGTTTGTTTAACTTGGTGGTTATTGATGATTTTTCTCACATATTTTGAGATTTATTTCTAACTAGACCTTCATAATGGCCTCGTCACTTGTAAAGCTGTATTTACTAGGTTACATTACAGGAAGCTATTTTATCCGAAAACATTACATGAGCAATTGTTACGTATGAGAGACGGCCAACCTTGGCCGGTTTATCGTATAGTATACGTCTAAATTTATCATGTTTATTCTTGAGACCTCACGACAAAAAGGAGTACAAACAGGACACACGAGTGGAGTGAATTTATCAAAACAAGCCAAAAAAAGATTTGTTCATTGGCCTTTTCGGGGGATAGGTCATTTCCATGACATACGTCAAAAGTAAATCTATTTTTGTGTTGATGCCCAAACAAAATATTGCCGTCAGCTCACATTATCCTTTCGTCGGCAGAAAAAGAATTTTCTTGGGAAAATTCCGTTTTTAAGTCACGTGGATAGATTTTCTAAAAGTCTACAACGGGTGAACAGGAGAAAGAGTTCATTTTCTGGCTTTGTGCCGTTTTCTTGGTCAGAGAAAAACAGAGGAAAAAGAAAAAGAAACTCTTGGTCTGCACATTCGGTGTTCTTAAGTTTTGGGATGTATTCTTTACGAAAAATATCAGAAACACTACTGGTTTTGATCGTGATATGCTTCTTTTTCTTCTTCTTTTCTGATTCTTTTAGAGAAGATAATAGAATCATATGATATCTCCAGGCTAGGCAATTGCATAAGGGCAGTGTACACAAACATCAAATTCCTCGCAGTCAGGTCCACAATAGCTACACGAGGAACTGCAACACACAAGTAGCTATCCCAAAAGAGGATTTACAAAGCGGCAACCATAATAAAACAGTCAAATACTGGTTGCTACAGTACTAGACACTCATTTATTCATACGAGATATGTCTTTTAAGTGCCTAATGCATCCTAAATATCCTACATTACGCATTTAATCTTCCTTATTGAGTTCATTGAGGAAATCTTCATTGTCAACCAAGACCTACAAGTGCGGGCCGAACAAAAGAATCATGAGAAGAAAAGTTGATTATTTAGTTGGTGCATATAAATTCAGCATTATTTCAATAAATTAACACTCTTCTGTCACTGGTTATTAGTGGTATAGTGGTTTAGATATCTTGTTTGTTTGGAAATGTGTAACTTGTGTCTGAGTACTCTAAACTTGTTCTAATCAAAATCAAACAGATGAACTAAGATATTAAGCTTTAAGGACTCTAGTGAAAACTCACGGTTTTCCAGCCATCTGGATCAAGAAAAGAGACAATCTTGGTGTTGATTCCAGGAATTGGTCCTGCTTGTCGAGTAATCTTTCCTCCAAGCTCTTGTGTGACCAAGTTCACAACCTCACCACTTTTGTATACATCGTTGGTACTAATGGCAATCTGGTATCATTAAAAGAATAACCAGGTTAAGGGAATTCTTTTCATAATGAGGGGGGAAAAAAAAAAAAAAAAAACCTCAAACAGAAACTGCATTTGATGACCTGGGCATATGCATTTCCCTTGGTATATTCAGTCACGCCATAATTGTAAGTCAACTCGAGAACAGTTGTCTTCTCTTCTTCGGCATACCCCAACATGGCAATGGTGTACTGCACAACGCATGAAACAACAAAAACGGAAGAATCCATAAGTTGCAATGTAGCTTAAGGATAACTTAGATCCTATCCATTCAGCTAAACATGATGCTTATAATCATGAAACGAACCTTGTACTCAGGCCTATCAACCCTCTTCACTACACTCATCCCCAAAGCCTGCACAAAATGAAAGCCAAGAAAGCTGTTGGTCATAACTTCTATCAAGGTTAAGACCAAAATAAGATAGAGAACCTCATAAATTGGTACTTCACACTTTGTTCCACTCCTTTCATTCATTCTCCAGGCCCCAATGCTATTATATATACCTCCTATATTCCTTTAAGTCTTAGTTCCTGGAACTCTGTACAGAAGCTTCGTCTGACTAGGAAAGGAGGCTATATAGCAACAAAATGAGAGACTATATCACCTTTTCGTAAAACTTGATAGAGCGCTCCAAGTCACCAACACGAAGCATTACTTGGCAAAGTGGTTCAGGAGTTGATTCCCGTTGAATGAGCTCGAAAGTGTAACCATCAGGGTCCTTAACAAATGCAATGACAGACTTTCCACCTTTCACAGGACCAGGCTCCCTGGTGACATTGCCTCCCTTGGCCCTAACGTGTTCGACCAGTTTGTAAACCTGGGTTCGATGGGAAACAAAGTTCATTACATCACTATGAAAAGACAGTCTGAGATTTCGCAACGTGAAATGACTTACATCTGGAGTTGCTATAGCAAAATGTCCAAACCCAGTGCCAATATCATATGAAGTCACGCCATAATCTGTGATCAGAAAGCAAATAACCCCCTCAGAAACCATATCATTGAGATATGTCAACATTCATGCCTCCATAGAAAAATCTACCTCCGGTACTTTTTCTCAAGGGAAATAGAAATTCTTTCTTGCTATAATTTTTTCACAAATTTCTAAATATCCTAGCTAGGTCGTTTTTTTTTTCCTCTCCCTAAAAACATGAAAAGGAATAGAGAAAGATCTTGATTGCTGCATCTGGATTAAGAGAAGTGAAGTCTAAGAATCAATTAAAAGTCAATGATTTTTTTTTTCTATAATTAAAAGTTAAAGAAGTTACTACGTTAGCATATCTTTGTCTTCATTTGCCATATCATATGAGAAATTCAAAACTATGTACTTCATTGCAGAACTAAAACAATAAACCAAAGAAGTAGCCAGTTCCCAGATAATTTCTCTGGATCAAAATAAGGTTCTTAAAAAAATGTTTGAACTGTATCAAGAATTTCATTCACTTCACAGCTCAGTATATAAACAAGAAAACAGATTTTAAAAAAATGAAATGAAAAGAAAGATGAGATGATATAAAGTTATAAACAGCATTACTGTATGTTAATTCAACAACAAAGTGAGATTCCTCCGGGCCAAACCCGAGAAAGGCGTTCGAGTATTTCTCCTCCGGAATGTCTCTTTTCCTCAACAGCTTCATTCCAAAAGCTTCAGTATAAAACCTGAAAGTAGAAAAAATAAAAGAAAATAACAAAAATGAAAAATATATATCATAACAAAAACTTGATTATTAGATAAAGAGCCGTACTTGATGGTGCGATCAAGATCACCAACACGATACACAACATGAAGGAATCGGCGATTGTCCTTTTTCGGCCATTCCAACAATTCAGCGTTCGGAGCAACCGACGATGCAGCTTCAGCCTCCGCCATATTATTCAACAATCAATCGCTACTATACTTCTTCTGTTCTTCATTTCATCCACACACAAAATTCAAAATTCACATCAAAACAAGTATAAGTGTACACGATCGATCTTCTAATCAAAATTCCAATACTACAGCATCAACATAAAAAGTTTCACATTGATCAAAAACTGAAAACTATCCGATAACATCAAATCGGTACATCATTTAAGGGAAATGCATCAATTCAAGTAGATCAAATGATCAAATTGTCTCATTTTCCAAATTAGAGAGAGAGAGAGAGTGGGAGCTTACCAGAGAGAGAGAGTGAGAGTGAGAGTGAGGGAAGTTTGACAAGAGTATTAGGCTAGCTGTGGAAATTGGAATGCCCTAGAAACCACCATAACTCTGTGTCACTGCAATTGGACAAATTTATAATATCTGCGCCTGTGATGTTTCCGAAAGTGACAGGCCTGTTACTGGTGTTTTTAACGGACAAGTGTAGGTGTGCCTTTTGTTCTGTTCCTGACCTCCTTTCTGGGCTCTATTCAGAGAAAAAAAAAGTCAAATTTGCATTTTAATCCACCGTTAAGATTTTTTTTTTATTAAGATTTAAAATTAATTTTTATAAAAAATAAAGTCATATTGTTATAGTATTTTTTTTATAAAAATTTAAATTTAATTTTTTATTATAATATTTTTTTCTTATATACACAATTTAAATTATGTAAAAGAATGAGCCTAAAAAGTTGATAAGCGTCATTTAAAAACGAGAGACACGTTCTCAAAAATAAAATTAAATAATAATTAGAAAAACGAAAAAAAGATTACACTTTTTGTAAGAAGGATCAAGTTTTGGTAAAAGTTGTGGTTTGCAATGAGAGCGTTGTTATCATCAGTGAAGCCTCTTTATGTTACCGTTTGATTTATTCGTGGTGGAGTTGTTAGAAGAAATGGACAGCTTGGAATCGTTTTGATTCTTCCTACAACATGCGCGTGTTGTCTTAGTAAGTGAGTGACTGATCACCTTTTGTGATTTTGCTTTTACTAGCTTTTTTTTTTTTTAAAGTTTTTAGGCAATCCATGTTATCAGTAGTCTTAATTTTTAATTTTTTATCTAGTTAAAATTATATGAGATTAAAATTTAACAGTTGAAATGTAAGAAATTACTAACAGTTTATTTTTACAGGACATAGAAAGTCTTTTTTTTTAAATGAAAATGAGAATTGCATTAGAAATGGACAGCTTGGAATCGTTTTGATTCTTCCTACAACATGCGCGTGTTGTCTTAGTAAGTGAGTGACTGATCACCTTTTGTGATTTTGCTTTTACTAGCTTTTTTTTTTTTTTTAAGTTTTTAGGCAATCCATGTTATCGGTAGTCTTAATTTTTAATTTTTTATTTAGTTAAAATTATATGAGATTAAAATTTAACAGTTGAAATGTAAGAAATTACTAACAGTTTATTTTTACAGGATATAGAAAGTCTTTTTTTTTTTAAATGAAAATGAAAATTGCATTTCCAATCAGAAAAATATAATCACTATTTCAAACACAGAAGACCCAAAATGCATTTAGCGAGTCAATCTCAATGACAGAGGCTCGATTAAAATGATCAATGACAGAGGCTCGATTAAAATGATCAAGAGAGTAACACATGCACGGAGTTCTACCAAAGGGAAATTAAAGAGGCACACAACTAATCGAGCACAAAATTAGCTCTTTTAAACACACCAAAAACACCATAATAGTTGATGGGTAACTCTCATCGATTGAAATTGAAAGACTAAGGCCTTCGCGGATTCGAGTTGAGATGTGATTTTATATGAAAGCTTTTCACTGTTGCAGAAAAAGTTGGATGTGACTTTTTGTGAAAGCTTTTAACTGTAGTAAAACTGAAATTAAAAATTTGAATTGGTGAAATGAATGAAGCCTAAAAACACTAAAGCCTACCACAACACCGCAAACGAACATGACTTACGGACTAGACAGAAACTACAATGGAGAATAGGCAAACCACCTCTGATATTATGGAAGTAAAACGGAAATAAAACATCAAAAAAAAATGCGAAAGAGGCCGATAGAATGCCATTATTGAATGAAACAAATTACTATGACATAAACGATAGGACTTGGCCTCACGAGAAACCTCACTGGCGGTCCACCAACCACCACGGCACTAGAGGCTAGAGCTAGAACTGCAACGCCGGCGCATGGAAACCCCCCTCAGTCGTCGCCACCACTAAGCCCGGCGCGACCTCCAAAGGAGCAGGCGCTGCACTACTGATGTGAAATCCCCGCACCACCCATTACCCGTAAGCCACCCATTGTCAGAATCGGTGAAGCCTCTCTCGTCAGATCTGAGCAATCCACCAAGCCCTCAACAACTCTGCAGCAATCCAAGGGTCCCAATCTTCAATGTGGCCATTGTTAGAAATCAATAATTTAGTAAAAACCATCACCCAAAAGCCAAAAACATTCATGTTAGATCATCAAGAACTAATAAATCTATAAGCGGAAGTGTACCTGAATCCATATTGACTGATTTCTCTCTAGAGTCGTGCAGTTTGTCTTTCAGATCAACACGTTTTCCTAGAGAATCCTTTAACTTTCTCTCTGTATTCTTTCTAATGATGGGATGTCAGAATGAATGAAAATATTACGTGTGATCTGGGGACCATAACTATCATTTATTGATAACTTCCCTGTTATCTTTTGGTATTTCTATTTTAGCCCATCATAAAAATAGAAATTACCCTCAAGTCTCTACACATTAAAGGCTCACACCCTATTAGATACATTAAAGCCTAAAATACCAAAACCTTAGTAGATCACTTTTAATTGGGTTTAACCTTATATGACAGCCTGTAATACATAATTATTCACATATAAGCCCAACTTTAGATTAAGAATCCAATAACCATGTCACGAGAATGCTGATATGCGCAAATATAACAGTCGACCGTTCGCCAGCGCGGCTCCACAACCACATGAAAACTTCGTTTCTTATGTTGCGGAATAGAAGCCATCCCCAACTGAGTAGCCCTTAAGAACATAGAGCACCATCTCTAGGATCGGAGAATCGAAGGTCAACAGTGCGGCAACTGCAAACTCAAGCCCAAGAAGAGTGGCGTACTAAGGAAAGTTTCAATTTTCAAACCCTAGTACACAAAGAAAGAGAGAAAAGTCACGTCACAACCTAAATAGGTGCTAGCTGAGAAAATTACATCACAAACCAAATAAATTGCGAGCATAAAGTCATTAATGCTATGTTGGATAGGAGGGATAGAAAAAAGGAAAGAAAGGGAAATAAAATATTTAGGTGAAGGAACTAAATAATTTTTTCTCATATTGTTTGGTAAAAGAGAAAGAAAAGTAAAAATAAATAAATAAATTTAAGGCATGTTACAATAATACCTCAATATAAATAAAAAAATGATGAATGTCGAAGATTAAAATTGTTATTTTACATTTCATTTTTTTGTCAAATTTTTTTCCTCCTCTTTTCTTCTCAAAATTAGAAGGATTAAAAATTAATGGCCCTATAGATTTTTATTTTCCTTCATTCTTCATTTCATCTTTACCAAATAACTTAAAATTCCATTTTTCCCTACAAAATCATTCATCTATTTTCTTTTTTCTCTCTTTTTCACCCTACCAAACACACTGTAAAATAAAAAATAAAAAACAAAAAAGTAAAGGAGAAAAACAAAACAAAAGGGTAATTTGATTTTTGTTGCATAAAAAATCTTAACAAGCTTCTCAAGTAAAATAAAAAATAAAAAAAAAAGAAGTAATTACATTAAGTTTGAATATGAGCGGGAAAAGCCCATTATTGGCCCATCCTTAACTAGGAAAAGGCCCATTCATATGAACGAAACCGCCGGTTTAAAATTCACTAATTTTGATAAATAAACGAGCTGTCGTATTATTTGAAACGATAGATAGTCATAGTTGCAAGAAAAACGACTTTGCACTTAACAGGATAAACTACAAGTCGTTTTTCCACGTAAAAGATTTCAAATTTCTTTAACAACTGACATCAAAGGTAAAATTTGCGGTTCGGTTCTTAACTTCTGGTTCTTCTCAGTGAAGCTGCCCATTTAATTCTCTGATTTAAATTTTTAATTCGAGTTTATATGTGATTTTATATGAGAGATTTTTACTGTAGTAAAAAAAAATTAGATGTGATTGTTTATGAGAGCTTTTTACTGTAGCAAAACTCAAATCAACGAAATGAACAGGGCCATTACAATCGTATTTGGAATTGATTCTGTTTTTTATTTTTCACGTTTTTTAAGAAAAAATGAACGGTGTTTAGCACAATAAAAATAAAAAATAGAAATGAAAATGATTTTTTAGTTTAGTATAAAATGATAGAAAAATAAAAAATGACTAGTCATTTTTTTTTTCATTTTCTCATCTCTCGATGAGAGAGAAAGAAAAAGAGATATTAATGATTTTTTTACACTAAAAATAATTTCTTAATAAAATTACTAAATACATTTTTAAAAATAATTTATGTCTGAAATTAAAAATATTTTTATTTTTATTTTCATATAAAAAAATAAAATTATTAACGCGTCCTACTATATTTTTAAATTAACTTTTACTTTTTAAGTCAAATTGTCGTTTACTATCGGACGATAATGAGCTTTGGGAACACAACCGACACGACATGACATGTTCCTTAAAAAAAACCGACATGACATGTCGTTTTTATCTCACAACAGCAAACTTGTAGAATACAAACGACATGTATTATTCTGAAACGATAGGAAACTTCTAAAGTGAAGACGACTGTATTTATTTATTTCTTTCTTTTTTGATAATTAAGTGAAGACGACTGTTGCATCACGAGTTTTGCAATGAAAATAACTTTTTCTAGAATCTTCGTTTTTTTTTTTGAAGGGAAATCTTCGTATATTAAATATTTGTATCAAATGTTTCGCATCACGGCAATTAGTATGCGTACTTGCATTAAATGACAACTGTAAAGGGTTAATTTTACATATAAATGCTTCGTCAGTATTTTATTATCTCAATGAGGTTACGAGAATACATGGCCGTTCATTTTATTGATTCGAGTTTGTAATTTGAGTTGAGATGTGATTTTGTGTGAGAACTTTTTACTGTAATAAAAAAGTTAGATATGACTGTTTTTGAGAGCTTTTTACTGTAGCAAAACTCGAATCAGCGAAATGAACGAGCCTTAATTCTTTAAAACTATTTCAAAGTATTAAATATGAGATAAAAAAAAAAAAAAAGTCGATAAAAGCATGACACCAAACTGCCATCCTTTCCAGGTCTTCATTGAATTAATAATTTAAAACTCAATATTCTCACCACTCATCAGCTCCCTTTTGATTTCAAAATGGTTGATCATTTCGAAACCAGTAACTGCATAAC